CACAAGAGAGCAATAATATCTTGTTTGATTACCAAAAACAAACTCTGCGGCAACAAGTAAGTATTGGTTTGATTCAATTTATTTAGACACTAGTGCCTAAATATTCCACCCGTAAATTGTATAGAATGTAGTGGCCGGTAGAAGCGAACTTTAAGTTCATTTTGCAGAAAGTACAAGGCGGGAGTTTTAACCAAATCGGTTTCACTGTTCAGTCAGTGTTAAATTAAAGCTATTTCGTCCCCAGACCGTTCAAATTAGAAATATTGATTACATCGATACTTGATACTGAAAACAAAAGGAGGGCACAAAAACTCTTAAATGAAAGATTCTATGATGGTAAGCCATAAGATCGTCTTGTATTTATTTGTTGACTCTTCATGTAGGTAGAGCTACTCGGCATGTGTCACGTGACTCTCCACTGCGTTTTACTGACACGCAGGTTTATTCTCTACAAATGATCGCCAATACGATCGAGGTGTTTGGTGGTCAGTCATGAAATCCAACACAGAAACCCTCTGCACGTCAAACAGTCCCGGTACAGTAAAAAAGCCAGGACAACAAGAACCTTTATTTTTTTATTATAGCTTTCAATTGACACTCGGGTGGCGAGATTTTGATAAGTCCTTTTTTATGTCTTCTCTTTGCATTCGCTCACAAACTCAGTAAACTGAAGCACTGCACATTATGCGTTTCACCTCGAAAAAAGTTCCCGACCACGTTACTCCGATTAACTACCTCATCAAATAAGCTGTCGTATTGCTTTATCTTAAGTTGACTGAGGAACGAAATATCCCAACGGTAAAAATATTCGTTTTCAGTCTATATCCTTTGTTTTCAGCACTTTATTCATCTCGTATCATGCGTTTTGGGGAAGTCAATAAACAATGCCTCACACACATACGGTATTCGAGTCTTTCAGGACACTTTTTTTTCAGTCATCTTCGATAAATTTATCGAAAATAAAGTCTTCGGTAAAACATCTTAAACCAGTAATGTTAAATAGAAAAAAGTACACTTGTATACACAAGTATTATAAGAAGAGCAAACTACTTCAGGTCAGGAAATAAGAGAACGAGATCTTTTGTACTAGTCAGGGAGGATGAAAATTTCTTGAAAATGTTCTAGACTCGCTGGTTATTCAGAGTTTCTGTTATTATTCTTTGAATAGCGACAATTTTAGTTGTTAAATATTCTTTTATGTCAACAAGATTCCTCGGTATGCATGGAATAAAATATTCTTTATAGTTTGTTTCTCAAGCTCACAAGCACCAGCTACAACATACAATCAGTGTTGCGCTTCCTAGTTTGCTTTAGTTCAATTTATCAAACTCTTCAGTATTAGTTATAATTCTGTGTAAGAAATCCTATGATTCATTATATCCTCAGGTTATATATTTTGCGTATGTGAATAAAGTCCTGTGATGGTACCATTCAAATGAAACCAGGCCCTTCTTCAATTCTTCCTCATGGTGCTATCTGTTTTCAATATTTTACAACACAATGTGGGGTTTTTGTTGAATTTTGACGTGTGGCAGTTTTGGGAGCAAATGGGTTAAACAGCCTTTTCACCTGCGCCGTTCTGCATTGCTTATCAGTTCAAGATGGCTTCCGTGGTGAACAAAAAAAGATAACAAGCCAGTATTGACTGCCTTAAGTTTTGGCTATCTATTACTCGGTGGAAATGTGATTATAGAAACGGAAGATTATTGAAAAGTTCCTAGTAAGTGAAAAAAAAAAACATGCTTGAGTAAGGTTGACATTTTTTCTAAGTGACACGAGAAGCCTTGGAAACTCACTATCAACTTTAAATTACAGAATCCTTGCGTAGATTCTCCATCATGTTTGATACCCTAATGGGCACACGTATGAAAACTACGATCGGGCTTTTAAGTTATCAAAAAAAAATCAACAAAAACACGTTGAAATTGTGCACCATTAATGGCCATGAATTTGTGAGGTGACTCTCCAAACAAACTGAACAAAGCACGCCATGGGAACTATCTTTAAAACTGATATTTTTAACGCAGCAAAACTTATAAACAACGCCAAATAGATCCACAAAATGACAGTTAAATCCATTGAAAACGTTTCTGACACTTGCTCGGTGAGAAATTGAATTAAATAAACTTTAAAACTTAAACGCCGAGTGAGACAAATCCCTCTTGTAGAATAAAATACCGTCCACTAGCAAAGAATACACACGAGCCCACCGAATTATTTTCTTTTCCGAAAGACTATTTGAGGTATCTGCTTTAGAACGTGCTCACGGACTGATCCATACATATGTCATAGAGTGAGACGTATGCTTTGACTGTCCATTATTTTCATAAAACACATGATTTGTTAAGTAAAAAGGTTGAGAAGTATAGGGTGCTCGCCGCGGACTGATCGGTGCATACATCATTGAGTGAGAAGTGTGCTTTGACGGTCCATTATTTTCATAAAACACATGATTTGTAATAAAGGTTGAATAATATAGGGTTTTAATTGAATCTGGGAACAAGTGCACGGTCCATATTAGTGTCCCCTTGAGGAAACCAATTTCGTTGTCTTATCTTGCCAATCAATTAACGATCCAAAGCTGTAGGGGGCTCTGAGAAATGGTAAATTAAAAAAAAGTCACTGAATATACCATAGCCATATTTTCAAAACAAGATGAATCCTTCAAAGAGAAATGCTATGTAAATGAATTACAACTGATTTTTTCCAGCCTTTTTACTCTATATAAAACTTTTGCCGGCCCCATGTACGTTTTTGAGAGAAACTGTTTCAACGGAATTAACATTGGTAGAGTTCTCTTTAATACTTGCGATAATCTTTTGAGCGATTGTAACGAACGATTTGCTTGTCGATTTTTAGTTTGCCAAAATAAACACTTCAAACCAAGGTATATAAAAACTGAGATATTCTCCTATCCTTCCAAAAACCAACCGTAAACCGTAAAGTTTTGTGGTTAGTTCTTTGATGATATTCGATCAACAATAATGGCCCCTGCAAATTATTTGGAAATCGAACATATTGGTAACAGCATTCCATGAAAAGGACTTTTAATATGTCATGGTTTCAATTGTTCCTTCTATAGTTTTTTCTGTGGTTGCAATTTGATAACTGACGGTCGGGAAAATACGCCTCAAACTGCATCGTTTGAAGAGGCATACTGACAAAATTTCGCTTCTAGCCCATTCTGCACTGACTAATTTGGCTTTTCCATTTTGTTCAAGGTGATGAATTTCTTGCCGTTGTTAGATGCAATAAACTTGTTTGTTCTATTGATCTTTTTTAATATGTGAGTAAAGGATTGTTTACTTAAATTATGATGTATTCTTTGCTTTGTAGTGGCTGTTTATGAGTTCTATTCATTAATGACGAATCTTAAAAGTATTCTTCAATTGATTATACGCCCCGATTATAAAACAACAAAGCCTTGAAAGGAGAAAGAAAGTACTTTGTTTGCATTTTAAATCTAAACATCAATATGTTTTGCCCAATTGTATTGAGTACAGAACCTTCGATTTAATGTTTTTAGTCATCGGCACTTGTGATTGTCGGCGTTTTCAGTCAGAATGTTTTATTTCAATACAACACTAAACACTTAAAACACACAGGGGGGCAAAATATTTTACTGACTTTTTATGCATAGAGAACACTACCTTAACTGAAAGGCATGTCACTAAGTCGCTTGGAAAAATAGTTGAAAAGATCAGGTTTATTCGATAATACGTTTAGTAAAACTACTCTTCTTCCATTGACTCCTTTTCATTTTGGATTTCTTTAAATTAATTACTTATGATAAGTATATATGGCTGGTGACTGAGTTCTCTCCAAAAATAATTGAAACATTTACACTTCAAATTGACATAAGATATTAAACTGGCTGCGATTTGCAAGGTTTCCTTTTGGGAAAATTACTGAAAATATTTACGTTTGAAAAACCAACTTTATGATGGGTAGGACAGTCGAAAAGAAAATATACACAAAACCATTTAAGCCAAACCACTGTATCTTTCAACTATGCTTTTGTTTCATTAATTACTGCAAAATCCTAACAAAATAAAAACATTACAAGAATGGAAACATTTTTTAATCTGAAATTCTAAGGGAAGGATATTTAGAACCATATATGTGTTCATATGATTGATAGTCATTACATGTTATGCATACAAAGGCAATAAAGTACTTGGTGGCGCCTAAAATTTTTCAATATCTCACGGTTTAGAAATTAGTTTAATTTTAACCTGGTCCTTTGCCGCAGCCCGCCTTCAAGTTATTAAGTATGGCCGAAATGACCGAAAGAAACTTTAATAAAGGTTATAAAGATATTTCTTTGCGTTCAGCAAAATGAGTTCCACAATCAAGGCGCGCTAATATGAAAAAAAGTAATAAGACAAAAAGTTATGATAAACTTTATTACGGGTGCTCTATTTTTCGCGAGACAAGAGTGCAGGGTCAACTAGAAAAACGTCCGACTACAAGTCTTAAACAAAGACTTTAAATTGCCTAAAGGAAAGGTCTTTACCGCCACTGCTGACATCCGGAAAGTTCTGGGGAAGACTCATCAACCATAAAACGAAAACACTGGTGTTTATGTAGATCCCTATATCGCGCGCAGGGGTGCTAGACGAAAATTATAAAAAGAAACATGGAGTTGTTATCACTGATTGGGCTGTAGACGCAAGCACTTACAAGTACTCTCTTTTTTTAATTAGCCTTGTCAACAAAACAGAATGGCCGCAATGCGGCGCGCATAAACAAAACGAAGTTACCAGCCCGTGTTACGAGTTTTTATTGCCGCCTAAGACCGACGAATGTTTCACTTCCTGTGCGTTCGAGAGAGACGACGGTGTCTTTGTGAAGTATCGCGGGCGGTGACACGTGAGGCAGTTATGATCCGAATTTGAATATTTTATTTAAACTATTATGAAAGCCGGCCTTTTGTTGTGGGCCAAACTTCAATAAGAAAATTAACGAGTAATTTGGATAAGTTTCGGTTTGATAGACATGTGCTAATTAGGTATTCTGTATTTAATAGAAATCTTCAGCCTGCCGACCTGTTGTGTCAACAGCGCTGTGACATTGCAAGCGCGTTGCACGGCGGACACACAATCGGCGACAAACAAAGAGAATTTTTGAAGTTTGTCGGTGTGTTTAGCCAACGCCATTTATTTCGATAGCTTAAGTACACACAAAGACAGCGTACATAAACCCTGCATCTGCGTAGCATCTTATTTCTGAGTGTTGCTGAGGTTGTATGACACTGCTGTTGTCTACTGTCGTAGGCTTCCACACGTCTAAGGAAGGAAAGATTTCGCAATGCCAAGACCTTTAAGGAATAGCTACGGCAGCGCTAAGCCTCCTTACTCCTACATATCTCTGACTGCAATGGCCATACAGAGCTCTCCGCAGAAGATGCTCTCGCTCAGCGAAATTTACCAGTTTATTATGGATCATTTTCCCTTCTACAGGGAGAACACGCAGCGTTGGCAGAACTCTCTGAGGCACAACTTGAGCTTCAATGACTGCTTTCTGAAAATACCCAGGAGACCCGATCAGCCTGGTAAGGGAAGCCTCTGGGCTCTTCATCCAGACTGTGGAGCCATGTTCGAAAATGGCAGCTTCTTGCGTCGGCGAAAACGCTTTAAGTCAGAGAAGGAGAGGAGTACAAAGATGGTGAAACTCATCACTCATGACAGCAAGGACGAGGTGAAAGACGACAATCCTGTGCGCTGCATCTCACCACTTGATACTACTCCATCAGGTTTCAAGCACCCGTTCAACATAGAAAACCTAATTGCATCGGACATGAAGAGCGTCCAGTCCTGTCAAACCATGACTGCCTCAATTCCCTCTCTACCAACCTGTCCTTCGTGTATGAACCCTCATTCCAGCTCAGCTCTGCCGCCGGGGTATCAAGGAAACCTCTGGCCCCCTGTTCCTTCGTACTTCGCCAAACCATGCGCCCATCATGAACAATTAAAAGAGTACGAAATTGCAAGACTGGGGCAGCATTTTTATCACGCTGGAGACCTTGCGCCCTTTTACGCAACAGTTCCAGTAACAAGTGCAGTCCTTCCGCAAAGCATGTTTCGGTGATGGAAAGGCCGTATGCACAGAGTCGTTGCCCCGTTGCAGGAAGCGTCTATATTTAATGCCAAAAACTCTTAATTTATCGCTGCAGAGAGCAACTTTGTAATGACTCTGAATTGCTTGCGCTGGTACGGAAAATTTTGGAACAAGGTATGATTTCGAGGTGTTAAATTTTAACCCATTTAAATCAGAGAAAAGAGACACGTTTCCTCCTCGTTTAGTTCGTTAAGAGATTATTTAAAAGTTAAGGTTGATACTTGAACAAATTACGTTTGAAAAGCCCATGTTTGTTTTAGCGTTTATGTTTCGAGACGCCGAACATGTAGAGTCTGTAGCAGGGGATATTTGCTCGCTTAAAAGTACCAGGGCATCGACGAAAAAAATCCTTTATAAATACGAGACTTAAAAGATCCTTTAAACATAGTTGTACTATAAGCATATTATATATTTTTATGATGTAAACATGATGATTCCTCGAGTAAGAAAATTATATGTACATGATTAAAATGAAAAACAGTTTTGCGAATTAAATGATTTTAGCGTTTCTTATATGGGTTTTGATTTGATGATCTAAATCACTTACTGTGTATGTAAAGTAAACATTGGTGACTAGAATGGTCGCTTTTGAGGTTGTTCTTAAAGACGGTAATTGTAAAACACCAATTCTTTTTTGAATGCGCTAAAAGGCACAGATAGTATTTCTCTGATTAGATTATGCCGTGTATTTAACTAGTTCTACATTCGGTAAACATTTGACAAGTGAAGCTCTTAGCTTGTATGTATTTTTCATGTCGTTTGGTCACTCTATGTAAAGACTTTAAGTAAACATATTTGAAAAGAATTTTTGGTATTCTCTCGTTTTCTCTAAACCTGTAAGACGGAACTATCTCTATGCACTAAGCTAGCTGCCAATTTTTTGATAGACGGTAAGGTCGATTACGTATTAACCGAAGTTTGTTTTTGCAACTACTTTCATAACAGACGGGAGATGTATACCCAGGCTCAAGTCATGAGCTCAGATAGTGGCTTCCAAATCGTTTTGTCTTCGCACTAGAACGGTGTGAAGCACTAAAAGGAACATCTCATTTTTGAAAAAAGAGCCTTCAACATGAATACTCTAGCAACAGGTAACTACCGCCACAAAATTGTGTTTACTCTTGACGTTTTGTCGGAGAGAACGGACTAAAATGCAAATGAAATAAGCAGCGAGAAAACTGAACGACCGCCTGGCGAAGAGAAAGATAAACTATAACTTACATCCGTTGTTCAAAGAATGTAGCTTTTTGTGAACTAAAAAATTAGCCCAACGCCTTCTTTGTTGTCGATGTTACAGGCCAATTTGTAAAATTGTTAGTGTCGATTGTGATACCATCACCAGAGAGAAGACATATTGTGCGAGGAGAAGGGAATAATTGGGCTGGCTTAAAATCGATGTCTGCCTCAGTAAATAGAGAAATTATTATCATACTACTTTTCTGAATTGGTAGAAAAGCATTTAGTGCCCATCTGTTTAAATGCGCTTATTTTAACACCCCGCTTGACAAATGCTTTTTGGAGAATTTTACACCATTTTTCGCTGGATAGATCCACGTCTTTGTCCAAAATAATCCTTTTTCTTTGACAGTTTTTTACTGCCGAAACAGAAATAGTACTGCTATTATTTAATTGATCTGGATTCAAAACACTAGGCAGTTTGCCGCATGGTTTCTCTTAACATAAGTCATTGCCTTTAATAAAAAAATTGGCGGCTACATTAAGGACATAGAACTTTAGAAAGTCCTACATTCGAAGAATTCTACGAGACAGAACAACCAAGAGCCGACCTCTTCATCCATTAACAAAAGCACTCCGCTACCTCCACAAGGCAGAATTTAGCAGAAACATGACAAGCAGTACATCAACGTAAACCGTCGGAAAAGAAGTTGCTAGGAGAGGAATAGCACATGCAGAGAATTTTATTTGATTTCGATGATTAGAACAGAGAAGTCAAGGTTGCCTCAACAACCTTAAAGAGGTTTAGTTGTAAAGAACTTGATACTTCCTCTTCGTCCTTTTCTGAGACTTTAATTTCATGGTAAGTGCCTACCACGTAGCGATGGAGGGCCTTCATTCAATGTTTGTTTCGAGTTATATACATACAACTACCCTGCTATGAATAATTTCCTCTTTCGCAAGAAAACGAAGGCTGCTCTCTTATTCGAAGAACGGTATTCTTCATCTCTCGCTTCATCATGCAATTATTATTACTTGACGGATTTTCGATATTGGCATACTGGCTGGGGAATTTTCCAGCCCTTTTTTTCCTTCTTTTTCAACTAAATAAAGTTCATTGCCAAACGCAAATGAAATGATTTATTTATCGCTCGTGGGTGAAGTTTAAATTGACACAGCACATATCATTGGCAGTTGGGGGCAGTTCTACTAGCGTGTGTCTCCGGTTCAACATATTAACTTGCAATTTCGCAGAAAACTCACTTGACAGGACTGATATCAAAGTCATTTCATAAACTGGAAATTATGCCAATCTTCAAGCTAAATGTCGGAAAGAGTTAATTCATGACGAAGAATTAAGCAAAACTAATATTGATTTAGCCACACTTAGTTTGCGCCATAAATTTGCACACAATTTCTTGATCAATTTCTGACATTTCAATTATCTGCTTATAACATAGTTATTCTGCTTTATATGAAAATTACTTAGACCGATTTGACTCAACTTGTTTCCCTAGCAATCAAAATCAATGTTTCTCTGAAACTAAATATATTTAATTCAGGAACAGCCATATTTAATATGAAAACATTAAATCCTGTTGCAACGTCAAAAATTTATTCCAATTCGAGTTTAATTTGCGTCATGAAAATTGCAAGCTCACATAAAACGATCTCACTCGCGCTTTCTGTGCGACACATTCTGATTGTACATTTTGGAGTGTATTTTTAAGTTTATTTAATCCCCTTCCAGGTTTTGAAATGCGTGGGGTTAACAGTCCATCAACGTACTTTTTTTGGTTACACAACACGTCAAGAAAGACGTATGAACAATTGTTTAAACCTCCAGGAAGCACGATGAATGAGCCATCATCCTCCGGCAATTCGTTGGCTTGACAAAGGTTTACAAAACTTAGCTCCTTGCTTTACTAAAGGATAAGTTGGTTAATAGAACACAACTTACAGCAAAGAGTTTCTTTTCGAGATTTTATAGCCTGTAAGACTCACACTTCATCCTTACGCTTAAAGCACAAACCGTTTAATAAAAATGAATACAGGAAAACAGCTTTGCTTTCAGCTTAAGGCAACAGTATAAATGTCATGATAGAGGTGAAAAAAATTCATGTTTTTCTGTCTGTTATAAACCAATTTTATTTCACTTTTCCGCACAGGCCTACTTCTATGAAAAATTACCTAAACTAAATCTACCCGTTTTGAAAACCCCTTCGCCCTTGAGAGAAGCAACGACAGGGGAGGTAGATGGAGGAAAACAAAAACCAAGCTAATATTGATAAAAAATAAGCTCTGTCTATCTATCTTTGCCTGATCCGCTTTCCTGTTTGCAGCGCAAGTAGAAATAAAAACAAAAGAAAAACTAATCAACTGTAATATTAAACTCCACTGTAGAACCCTCAAGTCTGTCCATTTTGCTGATTTCATTCTTAAAATAAAATATATTTATTCAGCGTACTGCGTCATTGAAAAGAGTTTTGGAGTTCATGGCAGAGGAAAGATATATATCGGCTAAAATTCGGACGGGCCATCCATCAAAGGAAGAAAAAAATAAATAAACGCGTGTACTAGAGGGAGTACTTAAAAGTGAACTATATATAAATTTATTGGTTTTAAACATTTTCCATATCGAGGAACGCCTCGGGAACTATCGAATGTCATTTGTGGCGTTGCAAAAACTAAAATATCTGAACTTTAGATTTTGGGCCATTCATTTACTGAGCCCGAGTGTATTCAAAAATTGGCACTTTATGTTGTCCGTGTCGCCTGCTCAGATCGTGTATAAAATACGCTGGGCGTTTAATGTTTTAAGAACCCGCCAAACAAAAGGAAAAAACACCTGAAACCAACGAGTCTGAAATCTTGAAATCCTTTATTCATCACCTCTGTTTTGTCTATTTGCTTGCTGTTCTCCGCTTCATGCATGCAGCTGTTGTTTAGCAGCTAGTTCAATCTGTTTCCAGACAAGATTGTTGACATTTCACTATTACCAAGAAGATAGTCAGGGTTCGAGTGGACTTTGTTCGATTAAAAATTTTGCAGGAAAAAAAAGTAGACGAGGTTATCACAGCTTGTTATGTGAAATGGTTTGTATGATCACCCAGTTATGAACAGCTTTGAACTGCGATATAACAACCTGCTTACTAGTCTAGGTGTAGAAACCTAGAGTTTCTTAAAAAAAAAAAAAACGGCAACTTAACTACAACTAAATCAAAGTTATGACAAATCTCAGTTCTTAGTGAGTTCAAATTTTATTACCTGAATTATAGACCTGTAAACACGGAAAAAGATAACTGCATGAGAGAAACTCTATATCGGACCGAAACTATAGAGCAAATATTTGTCGAGATTTAACAGTTCTATCTCGTTTGAGGAATGGATCAAAATGAGTGACAAAGAAGTATACTTTGTACAATGTGACAACTAAAATAAAATAATGAAAAGAAAAGTCAAAGATCCGCACGCTTTGATACGTTGGGATAATTCTTTTTCCCACTCCGATCTTTTCGTCTCGATAACACTTATTACCTTAGAAACTGTGCGGTTTCTTCCTGAAACAACAGTGAGAGCTACTCTGTAAACTGCCATCCTCTAACCTAAACATTTGTTCAACCTCAGACGATCATAGGCGAGTGATCTAAGTTTGCGTTAAAAAGCGTTAACATTCGGCGAACGCAGTGCATGTTTATGACTTTAAAAAACCATCATAGTAGAAAGTATCCTGTATTGTTTCTTTTTTTCATATTGTTTGGCGGGTTGAGCCATAGGAGGGATACACACGTCCAGGCGGCACGCATTGCTGCAATCAAGATCTATGAGTAATAACCGAGCACTTGATTAAAAAAGGCCTGTCGCAACCTTTTGTAGCTTCGCGCTTCGGGGCACATGAAAATGGCCGATAAAATTTAATCAATTCCCTCGTTTCTGCTGCATTGTGCTCACATCTAAAACGAAGCTGGCACGTTCACGAGAAATTCGCGAAGCCCAGAAAAACGTTTGTGCACAAGTCTTGCGAAAAAAACTTTGAGCAGATTTTAGCTGGCTTTGATGAACCTGAAGCCTCGACCAGCTAGGGGATAACTTAATAATAACTAGCTTTGTCCTGGTCTTCTAGCGGCGTGCTTTGAAGTTTGACGCACTCTCTCGCCGACTATAAGCTTAATAATTTGTTAATAAACTTTGCAGTGCTTCAAGCCCATATGAACTTTTGTCTCGCTACCTGTTTGAATTTAATCGCAGCGTGGTCGTTTTGTTGATGAGTACGCCCCTCTTAAATAACGGTTGCCTCATTCGCTAATATTTTTGGGAGAGGAAAAGAGATGAAATTACGCCAAACCGTAGTAGGCCACACCCCAATTTCTTACGTCTCAAACGCTGCAGACAAAGATCTAAGACATTATTCAGTAAAGGAATGAAAAAGAAGCAATCCAAACGAAACTAACACTAAAATACGGTTTCTCTGTTTTATTTTCTTTCAAAAAAGGAAAGACAAAGGAATAACTCGGGTAGTATACTTTCCGAGTGTCAATTAAAATATAAAAATAACCTCTTAGAGAATGCTAAAATGTTCTTCACTCCCGGTAAAGAATTCAAATTATTTTCCGTTTAATAAAAAAGGATAATATTCTATTTGGACCACCCGTTCATAGAGGTCCTTTTAACGCTCTCTACCAGTAATCCTCAGCTCCATCGAGGGCGCTAAAATCAACTCCGGTGAAAATGACCAGTAGATAAGGCAATAGGAGAGAGGAAACAAAATTACTTATGAGCCCCCCCTAAGTTATTTCAATGAAGCAACATGACATGTTCGTAACGACAACGTTATTGCCAGCATTAAAAGCATTTAGGCTGAGTTTTACCGCTCTTTCCCACCAAGTGGCAATTAACCACTCGGCAGGTCACGTCATGGTTCTTCCCTTGATGGTGCGCATGCGTGGGAGTTCCTAGCCGTATGCTTGCTTCTTTATTACCCAAAGATAATTTCGCCAGTCTTTCAAAAATATATTGGCGCGTTTCTGGACTAACAGGTTCTTATGGTTGCCATTAGACTGGACTTAAAGTTCGGGCTGGAGAGAGATGAAAAAATGTTAAATGGCTCTGTTTATTTCTACTTATCAAAAACTTCGATTTACTAATCGTTCTTTCCCTTTAAACAACAATTAAGCGAACTCAATTGCTGGGGTCAGTATGACCACATGTTAATTCTGTTTTCAAGAGCTCTGTTTATCTCCCGTTGATGCGTGTGTTCGGAAGTACTTCAAAGTTGAAGACGCACAAATTTAACCAGTGTCAGAGAGATAAATTGTTCCGTTTGTTAGCATAAGTTGTTCTTAAACATTGTGACAAACCGTGCGTCTTGTGACAAGAGGCATTAAGCTGAAGAAAAAAGAGAGTGTTTGTCTAGGAATTACCAAAATCAAGCCGTCAAAATAGAATTTGTAAGCTGGTAAGTCTCTAAAAAAACTATGTTTCGGAAACAATACTCTTGATAAAGCTAAAATATGTTCCCCAAATAAACAGACACTACAATCCCTGGTGGAGCATGAGGAAAATAGATATAAAATAACATTTCGGATAATCAGCTGGATTTTAGAACAAAACCAGATGTATTTCACGTCAATCATATGCTTTTATTAATTTGTATGACTAAAGAGTCGTTCAGAAATAGCAAGAGATTCCTCCATTAGAACAGACCGCAGACAATATCTACAGTCTTCTTTAAATAGACATTTTGGTTAAACTAAACGACCACAGATAAACATTTGGTAACAAGAGGCCTGCTTTTTAATAACAGCACACGTGCTGGAGTGTCAGCTTGGTTGCTCAGAGCTGTATAAAGCTAACCGAAAGTAAAGAAAAAACAACAAATCTTCAGAAAATCAACATTGGAAATTGTGCGCGTTCGAAGTTTGTATTAAGATCACAGTTTAATTAAAAAGACCTTAATAATTATGTGGGGGCGGTATTTCACAATGAACCGGCCGGCGGTGCTTTGTAAGCCAACGTCATGTTTAGAAAATTCATTTCTTCCCTCAAGGTTAACGGAGGTGCCGGGCCGCCTGGCCTTTATGAAAGCACAAACCGGAAAAAAGGATGCTTCGTGTAATTAAGCTACGGGTTTACAATCAGTGCCGTCTTTTCCAGTCTTTTTTCCTTTATTTTAAAGGAAAAGAAAAAAGGAAAGGCCCATTGACGGAAACAAAACTTACTAAACGCTGAAAACCTAAGACCCCTGTTTTCGACATTCTTTTCCTTAAAAATGATAACGGGTTTTGTTTTGACGGAGTTTTACAAGTTATTTGTCGGCAAGATTCCGAAGGAAAATATTTACTCAGTAAAAATCAATATGAGTCCTTTATGAGGCGCGCTCTTTAATTCCAAAAATCTACACCACCCTACGTTAATTAAAATAAGGATGTTGAAATTGATTATTAGAAAAGCTAATAAAGTTGTGCACTGCGGTCCGACAGCATGCAGTGAAAGGCGCGCTTTAAAGAGCCACCGTCTATGGTTTATTCATATCTTTTCTAACCAAAGATTGGAAAGTGAACTCTTAAATTTTGTAGACAGATCAAAGTATTCGGTAAATACTTTATTTGGTTAACACTTTCTCGCAGCGGGAAAGTTTGTTTTTAGGACTTACATACTGTCCGGCCACAATTTTATTGTTTATTCTTTGTTTGCTTAAGTGAATGGCAGTTTTATTTGTCCCTTCTTTGACGCTATAGCACGCAGAGCGGCAGGTTTTGTCTCGTTATTAAACGCTGAGCGACACCGTCTTTGAAAGTGCCGCCGCTCGATGCGATTCAGTTGACGTTTTAATATACAAACTTTCATTTCGTAATTCTTGAAGTAGCAACCACAAATGGAGGAAATGCTTTTTAAAAATCATTATCTCTCTTCTTTGTTTATTGCCACGTTAAGATTTAATTCCCAGAATTAGAAGACACGGCCAGCGAAGATATAAGCAGTGGACTGCCTGCTAAGCCGGACGGCCACTATCTGTTACAAAGTCATTTCAAATATACTAATAAAGTTGTGCTTAATTACACGATGTAAAGGCGCTCTTTCTTTATTCTTAACTTATTAGAATTATAGAGGTGTGAAATAAAACACTTATTGGCCTTCACAATCATGCCTGCCACAAAGGAAAACATAAAATGCAAAGGTTACAATACAATGATTCGATCGCTAAAAAAAGCACCGCAATACCAGAAAAAAAAAGTTTGTTTTCTTGCCTTAAGGGTATACTTGAGACACTCAATAAGAGTAAAGTTTTATTTATACAAATAAAGTACGAAAATCTAACATGCTAAATTGCCGAAAACATCCGAAGTTAACCGAACCTTTTCGAACACTCAAGGTCGGAAAAACAGAGTTAACTTGAACCTCGTTTTAAGAAAATCGTTGAACCAATAATTGAACCAGTTTTTCTATTCATGCTACACTGACACTACTGTCGGTAATTTTTTTAAATTATTTTACGTCTTAATGCAGTTTTGCTAAACACCGGCTAAAGTTCGTTTTAAAAACAGGTTATAAAGAGTTTAGATTTTTCTCGTGATTTTATGATCAACACCGATATGTTTTCTTTCATGTACGTTTTGAATAGACCCTTCCAACTTTTCTTCAACTTTTGACATGGGCCAGTTTGGGAAAATCCGTCCACACCACGGCTAAAAGCCCCTTAAAATTAGTTAAATTGTAAAGTTTGAAGCCTTACGTGAGCGGAGATAAAGCTCCACAAAGCTGCGAAAATTTATAGACGTTTGCATGGTGGGGGGAATTGATTCGAAATACTATTTTTAATTGTAATTTCATTTTTTTAGTTCCCATTTTGTTCTTTTTTCTTTTTGTCCTTCTATTTTGTTCAATTGCAATTTGCGGTGGTATGCTTTTTGCGTATCTCCAATTATGAGGGTCTGGAACGGTATTCTCGGGATTCAGAATTCGGCATTCGGGATTTAAACGCAAAACTGAACCCCCCAGCCCCACCCCTTCCAGACCCTGAACAATGGGTTTTTGCCTTCCATACTTGTTTTTGAGAGTGAGTATTTTTTTTTTCATACCACAAAAAGTATCAATAAGTAAATAAAATAACACTAAATGGTACCTTCTTGTCCTTCTCCTGGGACGTGTTTCCTTTCAGTTTCACGTTAAGGGCAGGAGCATTTCTTTTGTAGACTAAAGGAAATGAACAGTAGCATTAAGCTTTCGCCACTAATTGTATGATAAGCGTAAGACGCCTTAAGTTATTTAAGGGCTGGCGAATGACAAAATCTGAGAAGGGGAGGCCCTTGTTATTTTCGGTGCACATTCAACTTTGAAGACTCCGACGCGGAGGGAATACACAAAACGAGCCTCCAATCTCATTACAAAAGCTTACGAGATTTTGAGGTCGGGTAAAAACGAACTCTGTCCATAACTATCACGTTTGGAAGACGGTATCTAGACCATTTACCAAGATTTCGATTTTGGGTGTCAAAGGGCCTATGATTTTGGGTCAAAATTTGAAATTTATTTTAACATTTGAATGTCCTCGATATTTTGTGTCAGGAGTCCATTACGTGGAGCGTCTAACTTCCATCCTGCGCCTATGCAACGGCGTTTTCACAAGTAGGTCTATTTTTAGACAAGGCTTTCCCGCGAATTGCTTTCGAAAAGGCAATCACTGGCTATTGCGTCATCAATGATAAACTTTTAATAAGTAACTAGGACAACTCCTTCACATTGAAAAAAACATGGCGGACACACGTGAGGAACCTTCAGAGAAGTCTTCTGACACAGACAGTACTTCAAACGACAATTTCAGTATTTACAGCACAGAAACTAGCAGTCCAGAGCAAGATTTGCAAAACCTAGCCAGGACGTCTACTTCATCGGCGACAAGGCATAATTCAATCTAATTCACGCAAAGGGAATTAAACCGAAATCATCTTCGAAAAAGGCGACTGTAAAAAGCTCCAAACGAGCTACTAACAGTCTAAACGACGATCAAATGGAGGAATTGACCTCGTGGAACAGTTATTTTTCGCGGGAAAAGCTTATCTAAAAATAAACTCACTTGTAAAAACGCCGTTGCACGAATTTATGGCAGTTGAACGCTCCGGGTTATGGGCTCCTGTTTGTGTGTGGTAAATATGTAGGAAGAAAAGAGACCTTGCTTTTTTCCAAAAGGGCGGTTGTATCCTCTGCTTTCTGACTCAAAATTCTAATTTATTATTATTATTATTATTATTATTATTATTATTATCATTATTATTATTATTATTATTATTATTATTATTATTATTAAGGCCGAGGGGTTTCTTTTGTAACGGATGGAATTGTAGATAGTGTTTTGATGAATTAATTAGATTTTTTGTAACAGCAGGTTGATTGTAAATAGGATTTTAATTGAGGTTTTGTAATAAAGATTTTAACTTTCTTTTTTATTATTATTGTCATTGTCAACATCATTGTCACTGTCATTATCATTATCAGAATCATTAACATTATTATTATTATTATTATTATTATTATTATTATTATTATTATTATTATTATTATTATTATTATTGTGCACGGTAAAGGGTAGCGAGACCATTGACCAAGATATAGATTTTTGCTTGTGTCAAACTTTAGACCGCCTTTTTTGCTTTGACTGCTTTCAAACAAAAAATTATGGGTCGGTTATTTAAACGAAGTCTAACTTAGGCCACGGTTTAAGAAATTATTAGACCTCCAGATCTCTCTCTAAGTGGGTTATTTTAAGAAGATTAATGGTTCTCCAGTCTTCCCTGTTGCTTTCGTGAAACTGATCACAATAACGGACTTTTAGATAAAAGCGTTGGGTAAACTGAAAATGGCTTAGAGCAAGGTTTTGTTAAACAGTGGCTAAACCCCGTTAAATAACTGGCCCTTTATCTTACCTTGCACAAAAATAAAAGAAATCTTTTTATTTTATCCAAAATCATAACTAACAGCTTTAGAAAAATCTAACACAGCAACTAGCTAAAAGAATTTCAAGATCTTTGAAATTGGTCTTGATAGCCCTCTCGCCTACTCTCAAACATCATCCTAGTCCATTAAGGCTACAATTTTGTCCCAAAATTATAGGCCAACTCCTTAGGAAAACCTGAAGATGGCTGCCAGTTAAAATCCAAATCGTGGTAAACACACCACTTTTTTTAAATATTTATTTTCCACCATAAACCAAAATAGAAACAAATCTTAAATTTTGACCCTTTGGAAAAAATTGAAATGGCAACTAGCCAAATTGAAATATTTCAAAATGGTCTTGATGACCTTGTCACCACTCTAAAAAATCACCAAACATCAGACTAGAAACAATGATAGGAATGTTTCACATTCAAGCCGCCTGTAGTGTGTAACCAACTGAAAAAACATCTTCTCGTGTATTCACCAGGCTCAAAATTCACCATATCATTTTTATCATAGAACATAAGCACATTTTGACATTCTACTCCAAGTGTTATGCTCTCATCACTTTCCTTTAACTTTATTTGCCGATTGCATAGCATCTGTACAGTAAGTATTTACTTAACACCGGGATTTTCCATATGCCATCATGCTTTTGGGTCTCAGCCCCAGACTTCTACATCCTACATTAGCAGTATGATGGATGTTTGTCACAGGAACCTAGATTAATGGCCTTAGCTCCCACGAGTCTCCTGTAGCTCAGTGGTAGGGCATGTGGACTAGTGACCAGTAGGTCATTGGTTTGACTCCCATTGGGAGAACTTGGATTTTTTCTTTGGAGCCACCCATCACTGACTGCAAAAAACATCCTTTTCAAAGACTAACCATTTTGGAAAATTTCCAGGAACTGAGGTGACCAGCTAAAATTAAAATTTACCCTATTTATTCCAATAAGCACCCAACCTCGAAATATTAGTGCCCACCTCAAATAAGTGCCCATCCTAAAGGCAGAAAAAGTTAATAAGCGCCCAGCCATGAATAAACACCCAACCTCGAGGTCCAAAAATTCAATAAGGGCAGTATGGTAGTCAAATGGAATTGGTGCCCTTGTGCCGGACCACTCTAAATCATCACCAAGCACCTCGTCATCCTCCATTTTGATCATATACAAAACATAGAATGTACAAATTTTGACCCAAAATCATACAAAAGTTATGGCAAAACTTGAAATCTCCAGAAATGGTCTTCTGGAAGCCTTGTCACCTCTCAAAAAATCATCAAACATAATTTCTTCCTCCATTTAAACTGTAAACATCAATGAAAAAAAGTTCACATTTTGACCCAAATTCAAAGACTAACCCCAAATTTTCAAGACAATTACAAGCCAAAATTGAAATCTTGGTAAATGATCTTGGTGTCTTGTCTTTGATTCAAAATATCACCAAACACCTTTTCTTGTTCCATTTTGACCACACACAAATCGCAAATTTTGACCCAAAAGGGTCAAAAGGATTAGACTATAATAATATAATTAGCATAGTTAATAGCATTCAACAAAAATAAAATGGGATTGTGGAACCACAGCTGGGTGAAACATCTCCCTCAGGGGCGGATCTAGGGGGAGGGTGCAGGGGGTGCGCACCCCCCCCCTTGAGATGACCTGCAGTTTTCTAATACAACTGGTATTCTGCCAAAAAAAAAAATGTGGTTTATTGGTGTTGAAGTAGAGCAAGAGACGAGTGCACCCCCTCCTAAAAAAAATCCTGGATCCGCCCCTGTCCTTGTATGTCTAATTGCCCCTTGGAGAAAAATCCCAGGCCAGCTACAACGCCCCATTTTGACCAGTCATCATGCCACTTAAAAACAAAAAGACTCTTTTTTGTTTAAGCCATCTTTGGTGATTCAGTGTTGGCATCATGTTTAAACCTAACATTATAAAATTTATAACAAAATTGTAAATATGACTTTTATCGCTATCTTATTTTTAGCTGTTAGTGTGTAAGATCTTTATTATAATTTTTTGAGTTATTATTACAATAATATTATAATTATTGTCACCTCATACAATGATAATGATTATTTATCATAATCATTATCATTGTATGAGGTGATCTGTTTTGTACACTGGGTCGCATTTGCTCTTTTACAAATTATCCTTATGGCTTTTATTTATCTTTGTTATTGTTCTAGTGCTTGCCATGGTAATTTGCCATTAAATTGTAATAAATAAATAGATAAATAAATAAATAAATAAATAAAAGTGATCACGCTACTAAAGAAGATCATTATTCTTCGTTTTCACTGTCACGCAATAAACACGGCACAAAAAAATACATTTGAAACCGTCCAGTGGAAGAAGCCAAGAAAATGAAATGTTATAAAAGACTAATATATAAACTACTTGTCCAACTCTCAGGTCTTTGTGGCCCACAGTTTCTGAGTTAGTTGCCGAAACATTTCACGCACCTTTGTAGAGCTTTGTATGGAGACGCCATGTTGGTGGACAGAAACTGTCCACCAATATGGCCGCCGGAAATCAACAAAAACATCTGGAGTTCACTTTTTCTATAAAAGCGCCTCCTTTTCACTCGAGAACTAGCATACTTGCGCATAAACATATCTTCTAATACTTGAAATGGTTAAACTGCTGAAAATCAAGCGGAGAGACTTTTTTCAAGGAGATAGCATTCCTATTTTGGTGTCACGCACTGTGAAAACTCGGAAGTTCAAACTGCTGTATTTTTGAAATGAAACATGCTTCGGGGCTGGAAACTTGTACAAAGATTTATTTCCTATTAATCTTCAACCTAGTGTAAATGAGAATTCGTAAAACCTGGCTTTTTTGACCTTGCAATCTGATGACGTCACCGTGAAAACCATCAATTGGTGGCAGCAGTACTAAGACATTTTTCAATTCAGTAGAGAAAAAGCCAGTCATGAACATTATATAGGCTTTTAAAACTAACCCGAATAAAGAAATTTTATTTAACAAATACATTCTATCGTGTTGTGTGTCTGTTCAGTGACAGGTCACAGGGACGTCAAAATGTTGTTTTTGGGCCTTTTTACAGACCCAAATGACAGGGAGTACCCCCCACCTTCTACCACAACCGTTGGAGTGACACACGAGTCCCAGGCGAGTGTGTCACTGATGTTTTTACCACATTTTGACGTCTTCCGTGATCTATTACTTAAACAGACACACAGCAACAGGGAATCTATCCGTTTATACTATAAACAAATCGACAAACTTACCTAGTACCGCTTGACTGTTCCAGGATTTGTGCTTGTTTTTCCAAGTCACAAACGCTGCTTTTTGCCTCTGCTTCTTCTTTTCTCCTTTATCTTACTAGTAGACAGTCTCTCCCAAACGTTTTGTAACGCCCTCACTCCCCAAGCAGAATAAGCGTGCAAACACTTTTCATTTTCATCGTAGCGACGAGACAAGATGGCAACTGTTCTCAGCTGACTGTTGTGGGGATTTCTCCCAGTTTTGACATTTTTACGTTCCCAAGAACTGTTTTTGTCTCGATTTCTCCGTTTTTCTGACATGTAAATAGCTCCTGCTAAAGAACTGCTAAAGTTTGTTCGAGGACTTCGCTTGATTAATTCAAAAAGATCTCGCAAATATTTTCAAAACCACGCGCCATGTTGGACAAAAAACAAAGAAAATCACTATCCCGTGACGTCATCCGTCCGGTCCTCGAGGTTCTGATAGATCGCAGAATTCCGAAATGTATAAGCCCCTCCAAATACCAGCCCCTCAAACCGGTAACGCCAAAAACCCTCCGTTAAATCGCCCCTCCAAATATAAGCCCCCCGGGGGCTTGTACTCGGAAAATTGCCCTCAAATACAAAGTAAAACAAAGAAAAAACGGTAAATTTCCTTCCAGCTATAAGGCTAGCCCAATCGATTTTGAAACTAGCCTCCCCGCAGACGTCCTTTGGGGTTCGTTTGTCACGCATTCATTTGGGGGAGAAATGAATGCGTGACAAACGAACCCAACCCCAAAGGACGTCTGTGGGGAGGCTATTTTGAAACGCAAATTTCCCTCCGTATATAAGTCCCTCTATAAGCCCCACCCCTCTATTACCTCTCTATTACGGACAGTTTCCAATGTCCCGACAAAATTCTCATATTTTTCTTTAAAATAAACCTCTATAATCTCTCTAATACGGACAATGGACATTAAATCTCGGCCCCAGAGAGTAAATTCATATAAACTTAACCTCCTTATAACGGACAGGGCGGTGATCAGGTGAATCCTGAATCCCGATCAGGTGAGTCTGCACAGGGTGAATCTAGTCTGGCTGGTGAGCTATGCAAGGTGACATAAAGCCCAGGATATGTATCGACTAACACACAAATTGTTTCTGGCAAGTTCCTTTTGTATTATCACTTGAGAGAGTTCACACATTGCTTGAGTTCACCTAGAAATTTTAAAAAAATCATACCTTTTGAAAAATGAAAGAAAGTTGAGAACGCTAAAATCGCGAAGTTTAATGCCTTTTTTTCATATTTGACTATTGAAATCTCGAAAATAAAACCCCGCGAAATACTGTCTCGCAAATTAATTACCAGTAAGGTAAATGAGAAAAATGTTGGCACAAGAGCCGCAGGTGAGTATGTCACTGATGTACTTATCGCATTTAGACGTCTTCTGTGATCTATTGGCATGACTACCCCCAGTCAATTTAATTTCGAATCAAGACAAGATTCTCTGGAAAACTCTCTTGAGAAGAAACGCTTTCAAGAATATTCTTCGTTGCATTTTTTGCGAATACTGATAATACACCAAAAACCCTAAACTAATTTATCCATTTATTCCCGCCATGATGCTCTTGCTGTTTTACAAGCGTCCAAGAGAATGCCGTCAACGGGACCAAAACCAACATCTTCGTAGCAGCTTTCACCACGTGTCACGCTCGGCTCAAACTCTACGAGTCCCTCAATACCCTCAACAGCAAGTCCTCTACTATGATACCGAAGGTTCGGCACAGGAAAAGTTTCGGCGTCTAAACTGATCCTTCTAAAGTAAAAACAGGAAGTTTGTGTCTTATTTAAGACTTGTCGTTTTTCCTAGAACAAATGGCTCTAAGCAGGAAGTAGGGGATAAAAGATGCCCTAAATTTTGCCTTTTGAAATGATTGGAAATTTAATTGACTTTGCTTGTGTTGTGTCTTAAATGTCTGTCTTTTCTGGGGCCATTTGGAGGCTTTACTTTAGATTTCGAGTTGTTCTCCCAGGGGTTACTGCCTATAATGATCAAAAGAGAATAAGATTATTCTCTCTTGTAATGGGGCATACGTAGCCTGTTCACAGACCCTCTATTTTCTCTTCAAAGTCCGTCGAGCGCGAGTGATAAAATATAAACCGCGAGGGATTTATTGACCACCAGCGCAAGGGGGTAGTGGTGGAGGAAGAAGAAAATAGTTCTTCATTTTTCCAGTTCTCGCGCGCTCGCCTCACTCGCGAATTCGTCGATGTCTTTGAAAAGAACGAAAAAAAAATAATAAAACGTCTGTGTACAGGCTAGGCCGTACGGGTAGGCTCTGCCCAAAAGGGATGCCTTTTTTCAGGTTTCAGGTATTTGAAAGGGTAGCGGTTTCACCATTGAAGTATATGAAAAAGAAGGGAAATCTGTCATAAAAGGCCCAATAAGGCTAACAGGTGCATTTAAAAAAAGTCGGGAAAATGTTCTGGTTTTGTCAGTGATTTATTCATATTTTAAAAAGAGTGCATTTACAGCAGTTAACTGAGTTAAAAGGGAAGCAAAGTTCTAAACTAGGTATGTGAGAGGGGTACCATTTGTCGAAAGAAGATATACGGAAGGGGTACCTTTTCTGCCAAAGTGGTATATAAAAGGGTAGGAGATTGAACCTCGGGCCGGAGCCTCCCTTTATAAAACTTTGTTGAGTCCTACCGTCCCCGGGTTGTTCTAAACTTCCCAAAACGGCTCTTCGAAATGGCTTCATTTCTTATAAAATATATCCTTCCACGGGTTTTTCAACTCAACTTTTGACGGAGCCGACCAGTTAGCGAAAAACCGTCATACAAACGTCTGTAAAAGATTGTGTCTGTGTGGAGCAATATCTTCTCTCGCTTTTAAAATACACTTATCATGCACTTTTACACTTGATAAGTTTCCTAATTTTAATGCGCTTTTTCCTGCAGCAGTGTTAACGGATTTTCGCTAACTTTCTGAACTTTATTAGCAACGAAGCAAAGTATATCACAAGGATATTGCTGTTTTCGGTCAATTCAGTGCGGAATCCATTGCATATACCTGGTGCCTTTAC